CTCTCTCTCTCTCTCTCTACAGGCAACAGGCAAGCCTTATGAACATTACGCTAAGATGATCTTCATGGAACTGAATGATGCCTGGTCAGAGTTCGAGAACCAGGGATCCAAAGCACTCTTCTAAAACCCTGGTCTGGATCCCAGCTAGACCAGACCAGACCAGACTGGACTGGATTTGGCCTAACCAAACAAGGGTTAGACTGGGCCAGATTGGACAGGACTGAGCCCACATTGGGCCTTAGGGGCGCAGAGCCTCTGAGAGGTGTCCTCTCTTCCATTCCCTTCACTCCCATCGTCCTTCTGTACTTTCTTCTGTTTCTACAGTCAAGGAAAAAGACCTTTTGCCTCGTGTCTGGCTGTAGTGAAAAGTTCCTCACTGGTTAATAAAGGGGCCAGTTAAATAAACATTGTGATAGCTCTTAAACTCACTGCCTACCTGTACGACTGCCTGAGTGGTGCTGCAAACATCAGGAGGGAGGAATGGGTGACAATCACATGAAGAAGAGAAAATGGAAAAGAAATCAGATAATACAAGGACTTTTAAAATTATGATGACAGTGGTGTTAAATAAAAAGATAATATGCCCCTACACTAATAAAATGATGGTAAATTTTGGCTGTGGCTGGTAAGTTTGTAATCTGTGCCTGGCACTTTTGTAAACAGCCAGTCATTTAGCAGACTGGTTTAAAAAAAAAAAAAAAAATGAACATGGCTTTAAACTTTGCAGCATGCCAGCCACCATTGGAGTTTGCAAAACATCAATTGAATGTTAAACCTTTACGCTTAGTTGCCTCAAAAATAAGCAAACATTGCTGATGAATCTTGGAACATACCAGCCACAGCGACCAAAGCGACCAAGGGACAAGAAAAAAAAGAAACTCCCATCCTCTAATGCAGAAGCAGGATTAAAACCTCCCCAGGATTCTGAAACAAGGTAGATATGTTGATGATACCCGTTAATTCTTTGAAGTGCTACTGCTGCACCTTTTGGGGGTCAACACTTTGGTTGGGTTCGCTCTTGAGCCATTTCCTCTCCAGAAAGACAAGGATATTTCCTGCTGAACACTACTAGTGCTGCTTCTACCATTACAGTTACTGCTACATACACTCCTCAGATTGATGTTAAAACCTGCATCCTAAACTTCTGACTTCTGACGAAGGAGCTGAACTTGTTTTGGACCCCCCATATAAACCCAAGCTGGCCGTCTGTTGTTGTTTTTTTGAAGTGCTCTTTTAATTCCAACCACTCAGGCTATACTGTGTAGCTAACTGCATGCTCTCCCACACCAAACCTCTAAACAACTGGAGCTTGGTGTGTTTGATTTCAAACCGGGGTAGTCTAAAATGGGCAGCGGGCTCTTGTAATGAAGTGCTCTTTCCCTTGTAGCAGAGACAGAGCAGAGTCTACTTGCCTGATTACGCTGAGTGGCGGGCTACATGCCCTCCCAGCGTTCACACCGCTCATTTCTTTTGAGCATCTCCATCATCACTGTCATTATTAACCCCTCTCTTTGTCTCTGTAATCCCCACCCACCTCCTGCACACTACTACAGTGGACTTTTGTTTTGTCAGTGCATAGGAGGAGATCAAAAAGTGAAGGAATGAAAAGAGAATATGGTGATTTAATCTGGTTACTATTGGTTTTACTCTTTCTTGTATTTTCTGGGTTCGTTCTGAGCGTTTTTTGTCAGTTAATCATCACTTCAGTGTAAATATAGAAATATTATCATCCATCAAGTGGCTTTGTTAAGATTACAGCTTTGGAGGTTGATTTGTTATTGAGCTTCAGGCTTGACTGCGTGAATGCTTGTATGAGCGTGTGTGTAAGTGTGTGTGCTTCTTTCTGGAGGGAAGATAACCTTGTTGGACATCATGCTTTCTTATCTGCAATCACAATCCTTTGTTTTTTAATTTCATTTTTTCAGCCTCTCCCACACTTTTTGTTTTGTTTTGTTTGTGTGGATGTTTGTCTTTTCAAAAATCTTTCCAACTTTTTTGCTCATTTGTTTTGCTCAGTTTTTTATTTCACATTTTACCTCATGGACCAATCAAATCACCTGTTTTCTTATTTATTATTATGTTTTTGGGAGGGTTGGGGTTATAATGACATGTATTCATGCATATTAATGACACAAGTGAAAAAAATTCAGATAATATATAAGTGGAATGTGCTGAGTGCAAGTCAGACAGTTGTCTGATCACAGTGAGCCTCTTTGTTGCTGTTTTCATTCCAAAGCATCTACTATTAATACGAATGTGCTTTTACAAATATATATCCTCTTTGTTATTAAGCAGTATGTGTTTATCATTTGTCTCTTCAGTCTGTCTTTTTGTTGTTACTTTTTTGTTTCTTTTTTGTTTCTTTTTTCCTCTTAAGGCAGAATTGAAGTTGTTCCTTCTGTTTTGCATTTTGACATTTTGTTAAAATTCCAACGCGAGGGGCCAGTAAAATTAAGTAAAAAAATAAAATAAATGAACTGATGCTTGAAATTCAGTTTAAACTCTCTTTGACAGTATGATCATAGTATAAAGAGGGAGGATTGCAAAACCACACATCGGCAGTGTTTACTGTACCAAATTACATCATACTAATATGAATGTAGATTTCTGTGCAAAAACAAATAATTAAAAATCTTTTGATCTGTTTCATTGTCTTTATTTTGAAGATTCACAGTGACTTTCACAACCTGCTGCTTTTTCGACGGTAGAAACCTCACAATCAGTGTGCTTTGGTACTGAATATGATTTTTTTGTATCTCATTCCAGTTCCAGTTTTAATCATCTTCATGTATGACTTTATTGTGACTACTAAGTGTTAATTATTTGAATGAAACTACTTATTAAATATTACTTTTTTTAAAAAGATTTTAAAAATATAGCCAAGCAAATGCTAATACCACTTTTGGAGCTAAACATTACTATTAAGTTTACTCTATGGTAAAGGGTTGAGAGTAATTTTGTAACCAGCCCAGTACCAAAATATCTAATCTTCAGGGTTAACAAAAGGCTTGGTTGCAAGCACTACAAAATGTCATAGTCAAAGCCTTTGTTGGCTTTTTTTTTTAACCTTTTAATATCTCTAAGGCTTTTGTCAGCTTATTCTTTGCCTCCTTTAGCTACAATTAATTATTTACTTATTACTAATTTTACTTATTTCCTGTGCACCAGAAAACAAAGTTAAAAATATATTTTTTTCCAAATGTTGCATCTTTGAAAGCTATCACAAGCTTTTGTTATTGCCAGTACGGAACAGACCTGGAAATGAAGCCTACATATACAGTATCTCTCCTCCATTCTGTGTATTTCATTAGCAGATGCATAGAAAGTAAAAGAATCACGATGAGATACAGCTTTATTTCAAAGGTGGATCAAATCAGCCCAACAGAGATCCACATGAACAGATCACATTACATTTTCCCTCCAGAGCACAGGCTTTGAACACAAAACTGTAACACATCATATGGTCTATACAAAATGAATTTAAAAAAGGAGAAAGTGAGAAAAAAAGAAACGGAAAATGACCTCTCAGTTCGTCCCCTCAGACTCCAGGCTCCAGCAGCCATAAAATCTAAAACCATGTTTTAGCATCACACTAACCTTAGCATTGACACATAGTTGAGGCAGAGAGGAGAACTGGAGGACAGAGAAGGGGACAGAAATTAAGGCGATGGGGGAAGTTTGCAGACGTGTCTCTTTGAGAGTAAAAATGGTCTGGTGCGCAAAATCTGATTCTGAAATGTGAAAAAAAAAAGAACATGAAGTTGTTTCTCCCACCCATATGAACATAGACTCAAGTACAAACTATAGCAACATTCATCGATGCTACAGAATTCACATGCACTGAGTGTATGCAGCGTGGAAGCAGATGTTCTGGAGAGATGGGAACATGCCAAGAAATATCAGGCGCTGCCATTTATCTTGTTTTAGGAACCTCCATCTCTTGAGCACTTCCGCTTCCACTGCTAATGCAAATTCACTGTACGTGCTTTATGGGAGAAACACGAAAAAAAAGAGCCACAATATGTTTGTTTCCATTTCCGGACACGTATGACAACAGTCTGTTGTGCTGCCTTGAATGCAGCAGTTTTGGCGTGTTGACATCTGGTTTGGTGTTTTGACAGGAACAACGGCCGGAAAAGGCACTTCAAAGTGTGGATGTCCCTTCAATTTCCTGGCGGTTCTCACATAAGCCCTAAAAAATTTAAAATGCCAGCTGGTTGACTCCCTGTAAAGCTTTGAGTCCTCCAAATGACCAAAGGGGAATCTAAAAGAGACAAAGAAGAATACAGGGGCCTGGTTAGTGGATGTTGTGTAAACTGAGTAATTTAAAGGTTAAAAACAGTAAACAACAAGAGTAAAAAAATAAAAAATAAGAACTGAGATCCAATCAATGTGATAAAGGACTGAATTCAATATTTTACTTACAGAAAAGGTCTTCCAAGCTGTGTGATGTGCATCTAGCCCTCAATGGAGACCTCTGGAACAATGTGTCCATTCAGCGATGCTTCCACTGACATCTCCACAGACTCCACAGCAAGCTGCATCTGACACGGCATGTCACAGATTTCTGACTTAGGCTCTTCTGACAGCACATCCAGACATTTCTGCTCAGCAGTGGCGTCCTAGAAAGAAAAGGAAAGGAGAGAGGAGGTTAGGTGGTTTAATAATAAAAATGTGTGTTTTTAAGCTATGATCAAACAATTTTTACAATACACCGAACCAGATAGTTACTGTCTATGAAATTATAAAAGCTTGACAATAACTCACAACGACAATTTCCTGTACAGAGTCAGGGACAGGGACAGGGACAGAGTCAGGGACAGGGACAGGCTCAGGCTCAGGCTCAGCGGGCGTCACATCCATAGATTCTGATTGGCTGTTGATGGTGTCACTAATTTCAACAATTTCCTAAATATATCAAGAAGAGAGAGGTGCCGGTTAAAAAAACTAAGCATAAGTTTTGTAAAAACATCATTAAACATGGCATTGTTTCAAGAAGCAACATAACAGATTTATGTCAACATGAAAGAAAATTACACTAAGTTGACAGTTACTTCTCTAACTACATAATGCACCAGACGTAACTGTACTAGTCTGAACCAACCTGAACAATATTAAATAGTGCCTCATCACACTATATTCTACCACAATACTCAACAACAAAAAAATGAAAAAAAATGAACTTTTTAAAATGTGCAATTATATAAACCAATATTAATCAATGCCTACAGTTAAAACCATTCAATTCAAGTAAAGCTGAATGATA